TGTTCGGTTGGTACGTAATCCACATGACTCATAGGGTGGATTATCGATTCTTGTGTTCTGCATTAAACTATTTATAGTTTAAGGGCCTGGTTAGAATTACTGCCTTAGACTAGGAATAGCTAAGAGCTAAATATAAAATGATGTGGCCTTAGATTAAGAATAATTTAAGAGCGTTGTTTGAGATATAGAATATCAAATGACTTGGAATAAAATATTGAGGATAGCATGAATGTTTGAATCATATATTGTGTGCATGATATCAAATGGTTGATTATGAATTGAGATTCAATTTATGTGGATGTTCGACGCTTTAGATATGCTTACTCAGCTTCACCGCTGATCGTGTAGTGTGTTTTATTTGCTACACGCAGGTAACCAGAAAGATTAATGTGATCGTGGCGGCAGATGGGGCGAGATTGTCGGGATGGATGTGACAAGTTTTGAAATGATTTATGAAATGTCAATATTAAATTCGCTTCCGCAATATTTTTAACTACTCCGTACTGTATATGTTATGAAAAATATTATTGAGATTAATAATGTGTGTTTGAAATGTTTTAAATTATCACGATTACCAAATCAATACTTTAGTCCGAATGAGGCTGCAGACCTAGACGGATTAGGGTGTTACAATTTGGTATCGGAGCAAATGGTTTTAAAACCGATCTTCGGATCAAAAATTTGATATTAAAAAAAAATGTCAATCACATCCACGACTCTCGCATCCCTCTACTCCAGGAAAGGTATGAGAATTTACTTGGTAAATATTGACTATGTTAAATTCTCATTAGATAATAATTGTTGGTAATGAAATTATATCGAACAAGGACTTAAGTTGAACTTTCGTACTAAGTGAAGAAATGAAAGAATAAAAAAATGTATAAACCTCTGATACGTTATCAATGTATGCATCACATCGTGAATGACGAAATTGATCTGTACCGGAAAAGTCGCACGGAAGTGAGATGAACCTAAAGAACGATTCGTGTTGATAAATGTTGAGAAACATCTGTGAAGCCGATGTCAAAGATCCTCATGTGGACTCAGGACGATCTAATCGCTGATTCAAACACGAACGTTTAGAATCATGAAACTCTGTTATCTAAAGTATCAGATATTATTGTTTGACTCATTAGGACACATTATGCGATTACTTGATGTGAATCGAAATCGTTCGTTAAGCGGCAATTCTTTGTAAAACATCGTTGAAGTACTATACAAGGAAATCGACATTATCCTTAGTATGCATTAACTGACTGAACGTCGTTGCTGTTGTCAACTTGTGATGAAGAATTCCTCAAGTGAAGACCAATGATGGTAACCTTATAGAGGTAAAAGCAAACCTGATTTCTAAACCGACCAAGTTCATCTCGAATATATATATGCGAAAACATCTCAAGTGTGAAATCTATTCGTGCGATACCCAAAAAGAAATATCTGAATTGAAGGAACATACCGAAAGTATGTCACCTCTCTGATATGAACTTCCTTATGTTTCACCGTTCAAAATTCTGTCAATCTTGATCCTCGAGAGGACCAATATT